ACCCGAAATCGGTTGAAGATATAAGGGAGCTGTATCTAAATCTGATCCGATTATCACCAATTTCAATGGGGTTCGTCGTTGGGCCAAACAACAAATATTGTTTGCAAAATTTCATCTCAATCGGATAAAAAATGCGACCTGAATTGCCAAGAATACATGGACGGACGGACTGACATGCATAAATCGAATCAGAAAGTGATTTTATGAAGATCCTCAAAAAACAATTTTTTTGCCAGGAAGTCCGTGGAAATATTTTGGCATCAGTTTCCTAGTTCCCATTATACGTGAAGCATGATTTTTCACAAAAAAATTGAACCTTTGAAAAGAGGTAGCAATTTAAAGAATATATTATGATATTCGAGTATTTGATCGGCACGGATAATCACTTCGATTTATGTGGGGTGCATAGCTACCACAGGAGCAACACAGTCTCCTATCATTCAGGTATTTATGATTTTTAAAGATTTTTTTCAAAACTTTGACCATTTGATGAGGGGAGGTAAATCCATTTTAACACTTGATAATATTAACGCACAGAGAATTCTTGATTTCATTTGGAGCACCCTAATACACATCAACCCCTGCTGACTGATGAGCATGTAATATTTGCATTTGAGTGCATGTATTTAATCCTCCTTGAGGTAAATATTAAAAAATTCATGCTGTTAATGGCTCGGTATTGTTCCTGTTGCTCAGTTTCTGCTATCCGTATGTGCGTCCATTGTTTTATTCGAGACTGCCAAGTTTTTGTGTTCATCTCATGGATAATCTCTATCACATAATAATGACTGGGAAATTTCCCAAAGGTTACTTCTAACAACAATGTACTAAAATCACAAAATGTCAAGTGGCATGGTGTGTACTAGTTGTAAAGGCGAATTATATTAAATAATGGCTTACGTCAAAAGTTCAGAGTTAAAAGGTGAGCAAAAATACAATTTTCATATTTGATGTTCTTGGAAGATAAATAGCTGTAGTACATATACATTTACAGGTTTTCTTGTTAAGAACAAATCTTCTTCAAGGGATATTCTTTTCATTCCCTTGTAGCAAGAGTTACTCCATCACAAATCACCACATTTCATTCTAGCTCAACGAAGGATGAATAGCTAACACTTGGGTTAATGAACTGTTAATGAAAATAAGATTAATTACGCTCTAGGGGTTTTCAAATTAACTCCCGCCTCTAGTAAATTTATTAATTAACGTTATTTATTTAGGTAATTAACTGAATTATAAGATATTTAATAGTTTTTTGATAATTGGTCTGTATTTTTGTCAATTTTTTATTCCCTACACCACAAGGTGGTCAGGGTATTATGTCTTTGTGCATTTGTTTGTAACAGGCAAAAGGAAACTAGATAGACCCATAGTTCCTTTTGATGATCTGCATAGAATCACATTCTGAGTCGATTTATGCATGTCCGTCCGTCCGTCTGTCTGTCCGTCCGTCTGTCCGTATCTATATATATCTTCGTCCGATTTACTTTTTATTGTGCACCAAAAGTCTAATATTTGCCTAAATGGAATGGAATTTGGCACATACGACCGAATTTAGTCTAGAAGCTGGTATGTCAAATTTGGTGAAGATCGGTTCAGATAGAGCTATAGCTTCCATATATATTTTTCATCCGATTTGTTATATTTGTTACCCACAGCCGTAATATGCACTTCGTAACAACGATATTCAGGGAAATATTTAATTTACAGCTCAGAACTATCTCTGCCAAATTTTATCGACATCGGTTCAGATTTGGATATAACTCCCATATATATTTTTATCCGCTTTTAAATTATTTGTGAACCAAATGGGCAATACAAGTCCGAATTTAAAAGATACAAATGCTTCGGCATATTTAGTCCTTTGAACTTTAAATTATAATTATAATCATAGCGTGTATGATTGAATTCTTCCATAAAGACTTTTAATTGTTATGTGGAGCAAAGTGGTGTAGGGTATCATACAGTCGGCCCCGCCCGACTTTAAGACTTTCTTTACTGGTTTAAAATGTAAACTTCTACGAAATGTGTCTATATTTTGATAACATTACAGAAGTGGAAGGAGCAACTATTGCATTAGGCAATATTTATAAAAACAACTGCGCCAAGTCTATGATTTCCATATTTTCACATAGTTCTATTTGTTGTTGTAATGGTGAAATGGTTAACGCTCAGATCTTGACATTTTAATTGAGGGTCAATCTTGGGCCATAGATGCGAGATGATGTTTCGTTTCGTTCGAAACCCGTACTATTAAGATAAAAGAGTTAGAGAAAACCAGTAAGGAAAAGTCAAAAGTCGGGTGGGGCCGACTATATGATACTCTGAACTACTATGCTTACTTAGTAGAGCTCCCGTAACAAAAAAATTTATTTGAAGTAGGTCATACCACCTATCAACATTTGGCTTTAAATCAGTTATAATTTGGTTTCAGACGGAACTAATACAGTGGAAGCATATCCAATTCTGAATCGATTTTCACTAAATCTGACGGAGACATTTTAATCTTTTATCCCAAATAACAGAGTACATTATATCACGTCGAGAAGTATTATATTAAAAATATATCGGAGCCGAGATCCACAAAATGGAAACGTACGTCCCAAAATTCACTCCATTTAGGCTGATATTAGCCAAAATTTGCACAATAATCAGGAAATCGGATTAAGGATATATGTGGGAACTACAGGGTTGCCCATATTCGACGGACCCATGTTTTTTTTTTTTTAAAAAATCAAAGAAAAAAATAAAAATTTGGCGGTTGGTTAATCATTTAATTTGTTCCAAGTAGATTTGTTTACATCAATTTTTGAATATGATATCTCTCAAATGGCCGCCTCTGGCGTTGATGACGTATTGTGCCCTTTTTGCTGCATTTTCCATCGTTTTTTGCCAACATTTCGGCCGGAATAGCGGCTATTTCTTCACGAATATTGTCCTTGAGCTCTTCTACGGTCCTTGGCTTGTTAACGTAAACCTTTGACTTCAAATATCTCCACAAGAAGAAGTCAGGCGGCGTCAAATCGGGCGAACGCGGTGGCCAGTCCAAATCACCACTTTTCGACATCAAACGGCCCGGAAACAAATTCTTAAGAAAATTGATTGTTATGCGACTTGTGTGCGGTGGAGCGCCGTCTTGTTGAAACCAGAACTGCCTCATACGCTTTCGACGAATAATTGGCATCACAAAATTGGTCATCATGTCGCGATAACGCTCCTGATTGATGGTAACAGCATGGCCATTTTCATTTTGGAAGAAAAACGGCCCAATGACCGTTTTCGCACTAACGCCGCACCAAACTGTGACTTTTTCGTCACGAAGAGGCACTTCTTGTATCTCCTGAGGATTTTCAGTGGCGTAAAAACGGCTATTTTGATTTACGGTCCCATTCAATGTGAAATGGGCTTCATCGGACATTATAATTTTGTTCCCAAATTGCTCGTCATCTTCGGCCATTTCGATGACTCTTTGGGCCCATTCTAATCGACGAGGCTTGTCCGAAGGCAACATTCTTTGCGTCAATTGAATTTTGTACGGGAACAAATGCAAATCAATGCGAATAATCCGTTCTCCTTGGACTGACGCTTCTAAAGCAGTATGTCATTAAGCAATGTGACATCTCTGTCAAAAGTTATGGCGTTGCCAGATGGGTCCGTCGAATATGGGCAACCCTGTAAATCTAAATTTGATCCGATCTTAATAAAATTTAGCAGAGGTATTTTTGAGCTCTAAAAGATATCGGGTACTAAATATAATTGCTGTCGAATGCATATTACGAATGAGAGGGACTTATACACCAAATCGGATAAAATATATATATGGGAGCTAAAGCTATATATGAACCGATTTTCTTCAAAGCTAATGTACTTATTTCTAAACTGAATTCTGTAGGTCGTGCCAAATATCATTTCATTTGCACTGATATTGGCCATTTGGTGCACGATATTCATCAATTATCATCTCAATCGTATTATAAATGCGACCTGCATTTTGTTCACAAGAATACATGGACGGACTGGCTGACATGCATAAACCTACCCAGAAAGTGATTCTATGAATATCCTCAAAATTAACTATGGGTCTATCTCGCTTCCTTCCCCACGCTACAAACAAATGCAAAAAGAGTAAGTAAGGGTATTACCACTATGTGGTAATAATGGTAGCGTCAAAACTGAGTGAATGGGAGCTCTGGTCGATGATCTCTGTTTTTATACCCTACACCACAGGATGGCCAGGGTATTATGTCTTTGTACTTTTTTGTAACAGGCAGAAGGAAACGAGATAGACCCATAGATCCTTTTGATGATCTGCATAGAATCACATTCTGAGTCTATTTATGCGTGTCCGTCCGTCCGTCTGTCTGTTCATGTATTTTTGTAAACAAAGTACAGTTCGCATTTATTGCCCTATCCAGATAAAATTTTGTACAAATCATTTGTTTGGCCCAAGGACGAACCTTATTGAAATTGGAGATAATCGGTCAAAATTTAGATATAACTCCATATCTTCGTCCGATTTGCCTTTTATTGTGCACCAAACGTGTAATATCAGCCCGAATAGTATGGAATTTTGCACATACAACCAAATTAGGCCTGAAAATAAGTATGCCAAATTTTATCGAAATCGCTTCAGATATAGCTATAGGTCCCATATATATTGTTCATCCGAGATGTTATATTTGTCCTTCGCAGCCGTAATATGCACTCTGTAACAACAATATTTGGGGAAATTTATCAAATACAGCTCAGAAATACATTTGCTAAATCTTTATGATTTTCTCATTAGCAAAAATTTTAGTCTAGCCGGTCTAATTACAAATTATAAACTTATTTATTCGTTTTTTTTTTCTTTCAAATGTTATCCCTCAATATAATCTCAAATTAAACTTTACCAGTTAAAATACAAAATGACTTTTAAAAATTCCCTGAATACTCATAATCAAGCAGTTCCAATTAATTCCATGCATAAATTAAGGTCTACTAATACTTTATTAACTTACCAAAAACCGATATCAATTAAACGCCTTATCCTGCAAAATAGAACAATAACACAAATTAGTACTAATTGAATACCAATATAATTGCGAAAGTATACAAACATACATAGATATACACAATACAAATGTCTAATTATGTCTCATATCCCGGCGAGAGAATAAGAAACTCAGATTGTGAATAATAATTAGATTGCAGAAAGTATGACATTTACAGACAGCCACCCCCCGTCCGAGTCTTAATTATATCCCAGTCATATCCTGTCAATCAAGGCACTGGTGTGACAACATACATACAAAAATACCACAAAATTTCAATACGCACACACATACATGCGTTAAAATCTAAACAATCGATTCAATGAATAATAAACTGTGTGTTTGTGGTATTGGTAATGAAACTAAATCAATGCCATCTAATACCTCTGGATTTGAGACAAACTACACACATGCATACATACATCCATAGATTTCCAATTACGATGTGTATATGTTCTTACACCGAGAAAATGTCATAGAGTCTTTCGTATTACTAGAACCCTTAAGTATGGGTTGCCTCTCATTTTTTTTTTGGAATTCAATTAAATATTCCATTTTGAGAAGGAAAAACAAAAAAAATACTATCCAAAGTACCTATGCATTGCTTAAAGGTTGGCTATAGAGAATGAGTATCGTTCATTTCAACCCCTTGTAACACCTTAAAATGTTAACCGATCTTTACATAATACCAAGATGAACGATTTTCAAAAAGTTGATATAGTCATAACTGTCTACTCCATTAACCTTGTGGCCATAAATATAATTTATACCACCTGATACTGCCATCAAACTAGAACGCTTCAGCTGATGTTCCGAGAGATGCGTACTTTCAGTATTTGATCACCTCCACCATTCTTAGTACGAAGTGTATATTAAGTTCGTCGTTGTTAAGTTTGGAACTTCTCGTAGCAAAGATGAAAAAACTGCAACCAATTTCAGACTGCTTTCATTCCTAAGCCGCTCGTCCGACAGCTGTTAAAATTATTCCATTGACAGCTCATAATATTGTTTACAAGCGTACAAAAACATTTTGGTGAGAATTTTCCAGAAAAAAAGTTATCCGTGATGGAATTCAAGCGTGATAGTGTGATTTCTTTATATGTGGCTATCGTTGGAGCATTCCAGCATTTAAATGTGAATAAATCTTTTGTGTGTCGTACCATCGCTCGTTACCGTGATACTGGTAGCGTAGCCCGACGTCAAGGAAGTGGACGGAAGAAAACAGCAACATCAGCAGCAATGGTTCGAAAAGTAAAGAAGCGACTTGATCAAAACCCGTGTTGCTGTGGCCAAAAATGGCTCGTGAGCTGAATATATCACAATATTCCATTCGGCAAATATTGAAAAATATGCTCGGGTAAAGCCATTGACATTCCAAAAAGTGCAAGAAATTACACCGCAACAGAAAGAAAATTGACTCAAAAGAGCTAAAGAGTTGCTTCGCTTGGCCGAAAGTGGTGAACAGCCGATGTTCGCTCTTCGCTCGTATTAATCGACCGAGGCTTTCATTCAATAAAATTTAAAAAAATGTAACAATTATGGTGTTTGACTTTCTTGCAGTTTTTTTATCTCACCCTGTATATCCTTATTAGTGTAAAATTCTATGTCGATTTACATATGTTCACCCTCTTTTCATCTAACTTCCGAATGAAATTAAGTAGATTGACTAAGTGCATTTTAGGTTCGTATTGGTATTGAAAATTGGTAATATAGTTCCATATTCTGACATAGCGCCCATATAATGGGGCCTTCCATTATTTGATTTTAGCTACATTTTTAAGATTTTGAAAATTTTTTCCAAACGTCTGAGGGTATTAAAAATGTAGTTTCTTTGTAACTTGTTTTTATATCCTCCACATACATAGTGTAGGTCCAACCTTTATGGTGTGCAAAAAGGGCATTTAACAAAAGTTGAGGTTACATATCGTAAATCGTACAATCCATTCGAAAGTTATCTTGGGCATCTATAAATAAGACAGGCCATCAGACAGTCTGTCCTGACGTGGCTAGATAGAGAAAAGTATTAACAAATATGAAGATGCTAAGTTTGACGGGGACCCTACTCGATGTACGGCAAAGTTTCTGTAAATCGGAAACGCCTTTACATTGAATCAACATCTTTAATCTACTCAAAAGGTTGCTTCTCTAATTTTCTGATGCTGTAGCGTATACATTTCAATTCTTGCACATCTCAATATTTGTGCCAATATAAGATGTAGTGTGAAAATGGTATATATCAACCAACTTCCTATGGTACATCTGCTGCGAAAGTTCAATTTAAAAGGACACAGATACAAAAGCTGTAAATTCGGCCAGATCGAACTCTGAATACCCTCCAACATTTGGAACGAACTTGGCAATTAAAAAAAAAATCTGTTAAATCTTAAAAACCAGTAAAGAAAGTCTTAAAGTCGGGTGGGGCCGACTTTATGATACCCTACACCACTTTGCTAATTTTGTAGAACTCCACATAACAATTAAAAGCTTTTATGGGAGAATTTAATCATACACGCTATGATTATAAATGTAATTTAAAGTTCAAAGGACTAAAAATGCCGAAACATTTGTATCTTTTAAATTCGGACTTGTATTGCCCATTTGGTGCAAAATTAATTTGAAATCAGATAAATATATATATGGGAGCTATACCCAAATTTGAACCGATCTCGATAAAATTGGGCAAAGATATTTATGAGCTGTATTTGATATATTTCCCTGAATATTGTTGTTACGGAGTGCATATTACGGTTGTGGGTAACAAATATAACAAATCGGATGAATAATATATATGGAAGCTATAGCTATATCTGAACCGATCTTCACCAAATTTGACATACTAGCTTCTAGACTCAATTCGGTCGTAAGTGCCAAATTCCATCCCATTTGGACAAATACTAGACGTAAAAGTAAATCGGACGAAGTTATATATGAGAGCTATATCCAAATCTGAACCGATCTCGATAAAATTTGGCGAATATATTTCGGAGCTGTATTTGATAAATTTCCCTGAAATATTGTTGTTGCATAGTGCATATTACGGCGGCGGTGGACAAAAATAACAAATCGGATGAACAATATATATGGGAGCTATAGCTATATCTGAACCGATTTCGATCAAATTTGGCATACATATTTTCAGACCTAACTTGGGCGTATATGCCAAATTCCATACAATTCGGGCTGATATTACACGTTTGGTGCACAATAAAAAGCAAATCCGACGAATATATATATCGGAGCTATATCTAAATTTTGACCGATTATCTCCAATTTCAATAGGGTTCGTCCTTGGGCCAAACAAAAGATCTTTGCAAAATTTTATCTGGATCGGGCAATAAATACGACCTGTACTTTGTTTATAAAAATACATGGACTGACGGACAGACGGACGGACGGACATGCATAAATCGACTCAGAATGTGATTCTATGCAGATCATCAAAAGGAACTATGGGTCTATCTCGTTTCCTTCTGCCTGTTACAAACAAATGCACAAAGACGACGTGGAACTGCATAGGCAACTTTTGTCATAAACCTTTACAATATCCAAATTCGAAATTAAAAAAAAAGTGAATAATGTAGCTAAAATCATCAAAATATGGAATATTGGGGCTATACAATTGTCTGTCATAGCCTTTAGTATCCATTACGAACTTCAAATACCAAATTTGAAACAATTCCGGTGAATAATGTCGCTAAAATTATCAAAATACCGAATATCGGGAGGTGCCGTTATATGTGGCCTATACGAAGGCATGGACCTACACAGACAATTTTCTGTCATAGGCTATAGTATCCATTACTTCAAATACCAAATATCGAGCGGTGCCTTTATATGGGGCCTATACGAAGGCATGGACCTACACGGACATTTTTCCATTCATTACGAACTTCAAATACCAAGTTTGAAACATTTCCGGTTAATAACGTAGCTTAAATCACCAAAATACCGAAAATATGGAGGTACTATTATATGGGGGCTATACCAAAACGTTGACCTACCAAAAGTCCTATATTATCTCTATACATTGGTGTAAAACTTTATCTACCTACTTCATTTCGTTCGAAAGCTAAAGTAGAGTAGAGGACACCGCTAAATCGACATAGAAATTTATGCTGATCAAGAATATATATACTTTGTGGGGCCTAAAATGTATGTTTCGAGATGTTACAAACGGAATGGCAAACTCAATATACCCTCCATTCTATGGTGGAGGGTATAAAAACATATAAATTATAAGGGAAAAAAGTTTGTATTCTAGTTCACATTTCATGCATCGTAATATTTGTGAAAACGCTTCAGTCAGATAATGGACAATATTAGTACAATTCTCCTTGCATAACCTTATATATTTGTTCCTAAAAATCCTTATTGTGTTCTTACACATTACTTTATTTTACTGATATTTTTTTACAGCTAAAACTTGACTGCATTGTAAATGGAGTATGGTTTTGGGTAAGTACTCAATAAATTTTTCATTAATTGCCAAATAGAATAGAATCTGAACTATTTAGAAATTTATCTAAAATGAGTTGTGTTGAGAAACCCTCTTATTTTTGCAGTATTCAACTCACATTATCGCACACACACACACACACATACTGATGTAATTAGTATAACTATTGTTAAGTACTTACAACAGCTACTTTAATGTAAACATCTCCAGTAATTATGTTCACAGGACGACTGTGCTTCACTGTTGTGTGCAGTAGCATGTTTATTGGGATGATCCAAAAAAGGTTTTTGCTCACAATAGTTTTTTTTTTTTATTTCAGAGTAAACCCTATGACACATCTTCTCCTTTTCTTCAGTTATCTATGTACATGTCACATTTATTTTCCAATCGATTTAATGCTTGATCCCGGAACGAAAATTAATAAGATTTTTTTTTTTAAATTTTAAAAATTCTACCCCCTACAAAATTTTACTTATTTGGGGACTAAAATGACTCCATAAACATTACTATGACCCGATGGTCATAAACCTTGTATTATGGG